GAATCCGAACAACTTCGGAACACAAATTCAATAGAGAGTGAATCGTATTATACGTTTCATGAGAAACCAAGTGCGTGTAAAACAGCTAGCAGAATTTCTGTTGGTACAGTGGCTGCCTATTACAAAGACTATGTACGCATAAAGAGGTTGGAGCAATATTTTCGATGGTTGGTTCGCATACCAATTTAGTTCAAGGTTGTCGTGTCTTCTGTGTAACGCTAATATCGTGCACGCTTACTTTCCAGCGAGACTATAGTTACTTCGGTAAGAACGGTTTGTGATCCGGATATCAATTGCCAGAAAAAAGATTATAACTGGATAGTAGATGGTTTTGACAAACAAAATGGAAAACCATTTCGTTATCGATGTAAAAGAGTCGTTCTTGCCACAGGCACAACTGATTTATCAAATCAGTTAGGTATACCTGGTGAAAACTCTCAACCCGATTGGATAACACATGACTTAAACAAATTAGAATTAAGATTAGATCATCTGATTGATCAACATCAAGGTATGCAAATTGTTTTTTTCTTTTTACATTTTTTTTTGTTTTTTTTTATATTTAAATTTTATATGTTAATGAGTTGCACTAATCTTCATTAGTAAAATATTCGATTTTAGCAAACGAATTAGAAGAAAGACAAGTAATCAATCCGATATTAGTAATTGGTGCTGGATTAAGCGCTGCGGATGCAATTATGGCTGCACGCTTTCGCGGCATTCCTGTGTTGCATGCCTTCCGTGACTCGTCCAACGAATGGAACAAGCAAGATGACGAGAAGATACGCACTATTTATGATAAATTACAAGGCCTTCCTAGCTCCATGTATCCTGAATATCACAAGGTATACGAAATGATGGCTGACGGTGGTACTAATTATCCTCTATACAGAGCATTACCAGGATATACGTTACTCGGATTTACTGGAAATGAAAACGATTTTAATGATACCGGATCCGAAAAACAGCCAATAGTTACTTTTTCAGATCCTGATGGATGTATACACACATTTCGTGTTTCTATAGTAGCCATACTTATCGGTATGTATCAAACGATTCTAATATAATCATACGAAAAATGTAATCTATGTATAATGTATATAATGTTTTTTAAAGAAAAAAATATTCATTTATAGGTTACAAGCCTGATTTGTCTTATTTGAAAGATAGCGGTATCGGTCTTGGAAAATATTCCGACAAACTCATAGATGGTAAATCGAATCCAATTGATGTTGATAATTTTACTTATGAAGTAACAAAAGCTTCGAAAAGTGGACTTTATGCTTTGGGTCCTTTAGTTGGTGATAATTTCGTACGTTACATTCTCGGTGGAGCGTTTGCAATTTTAGTTCACATTCTGACTACCTCATCTTCTACCTAAAGTAGTGCAAATATTTAGTTATTTGTCAATCATTGGAATGATAAAAAAATCATGCTTTCTTATTTACTTTTTATACATACGTTCAGATTATAAATATTTTCTCTTATTCAGATACTATTCATATTGCTGTATATGAAAAATAGTAAAATAGAATTCTTTTGTATTTAAATGAAATGTTCATCAAAACATGATCTTGTTCCTTGCTAAAAATGCATTAAAAACAAAAAAAGTCCATATGAAAGTTTTTACATCTATAATAATAGTTATCATGAACTTTGAAGAAGAAAAAAAAGTCTGAACATATATTTCATGATACAATAAAATTTATAGGACTTTAACATTTATTGCATTCCATTTATTAGAATAAATATTTTTATTATGTACAATATTTGCTGTATTTCAGATTACACATCAAGCGTTTTTTCATATATTTTATTGAATTTCACACTTTCAATATGTGTAAATAATAATATTTTTTTTTTATACAAAGTTTTATCATTTATTAATGAAATTATTAATGAATGATTTTTAATTCGTAACACACAAGATTTTTGTAGAACTGAATAAATATTTACATCTAGAAGTTATATAACACTCTTGCATACATTCAAGTACACATATATCACGCAACACATAAAAAGGGCATGTTTAGGCAAGTATCTTTTAAATAAATAAATATATGTATATGTATAAATATATATTATTTATACATATATATATGTATATACATCAGATATATACACACGTGTGTGTGTATCGTTCAAACCTTTGTAATAATATTTTTTTAAGAATCCAACTTATATGTAGATAAATGATTATAATTAAATATAATAAATTATGTAGATATAAAATATATGTGCCGCTCAGTCTGTGATAAAAAAAAAGGTGCAATGTTCAAAAAAAATTTATCTAGTATTCTTAAGAATAAAAATTCGATATTGTTAACTACTATGTTATCTTAGTATTTATTAAATTATATTTCAAGATACCTATTTATAATATTTATGTAAATAACATTATCATATAAAATATTCGATAAAATATTTATTTTAAAAAATCATTAAAAAAAAATCAATACATCTTTTTAATATTTTCTCATGGTTCATTTTAACTATGAATACATTTGTTTTTTTTTTTCAATTATTTATTTTATCAAAATTTTATAGCAGCATTCTCAATTTAAATATATTAAAAATTAATTTAAGTGAAAATGCAATTAAAAATCATTAATAAGATTATTAAAATTTACATTTGTATTATATATAAATCTTAAAATCATTACATAACGATATGCAAACGATATCATGACAAAAAAATTATGGAATGATGTCGAACATAAAATAAGAAAAATAATTTATATAGTCATAAAAATAAAACATATACTTATAAATTCTATATTCTAATTTTTCTTCTAATCTTTCTTTTTAAAATTAAAAATTTTCAAGAATTTCGTCGAAAAAATATTTTTTTGCAAATTATACGCTATATATTTGTTTTTTTTTTTACTAGAATAATTAATAACAAAGTAATTGTACATTAAAATTTAGTAGTGCAAATTGTATTTCATGTTTTAAACACGACAAAAAGAAAACTGACTAGAATGATAGCACCTGCAAGAACAACTATGCAATACAATTTCTTATTGGCTCTTTGATAAGAATCTGCTTTTTTCAATTGTTTATAACCCTCTTGTACTTGCATTTGTGTTTGTTCAATATTATAATCAATTCTATCTAAAATAGTACCTTGTTCCTGCACCATGGTTGCTAAATCCTGTTTAAGGAAGATATATTTTACTTATTATTTAACACAATAATTTTAATAATTTTCATTTTGTATTTCAACATTCAGAAAATCTCTTACTTTAAATATATGTCTGAGATCTGCTATACTTTGCACTATATTACCAATTTGTTCTTCTCTTTCCATAGCTAATTTCATTCTGTCTTCTGGATCTTCCAATTGTAATAGTACAGAATCTTGTTTTTGTTCACTATTTTCCCAAGAATCTGAATTTATTTCATTTGATTCCATTAACCATGTGTCTGTTGTAGTATTATTTAAAAATATTGATTGATCTTCTGTAAAAAACTGATTACTTCTTTCTTCTCTTGATTTAACCTCTGAAATTATTAAATGAAGTTGGATATTTTTTTATTTCAATATTAAGCTTACATGCAAACTATATAAATCATACGTGTTAAATAGTGATTCTGAGCTGATCTGTATCGAAGACCCAGCTCTTGTAAAGCTGTTGAAAGAGCCATTACCGCGCTTATGGCTAATTGTCGTTCTGCAGATCCAGTAGTATGTCTTGCTGCAGCTTTTATAGCTTGTACTTGATGATAACCATTAGAAAATGCACGTCCTATTTCTCGTGTCAGTTGTTCCATTTGTCTTTCTTCCTGTAGACATGTTTTTAACGATTTGCTCTCTAACAATTGAGTAATCAAAATAAATCAGAAAGATTAACTAATCTTCTATTATTAAATATATAACATGTAATTTAGTTCTAACATAATGATTATTAATTGTTAAAGTTAATAACAAACCTGTGAAGTATCATCTAATGTTGGCCTAGTTAATTGTTTAGCATGTAATTCTACTAAACTGTCTATTTTAACACGTAATCTACTTAAAATATATTGTGTCTCTTCCAAAGCATCAGTCCATATAGGTGGTGCATTACTTTCCAAATTGACATTTTTTAATTCAACATTGTCCGAAGTACCAGAATCCGAAGTTACTAATGCCATGCGATCAGACAAATTCTGAAATTATGCAGTTTCAATATTGCAATATTATTTATTTTTTAAATTTTGAACAAAAAATTCGTTAATTTTTCATAAAATTATAGGTTATGATATACCTGTTCAGCATATATGTGCTTGCTTTGTAAAGCATTATTTCGCATTAAAACAAATGGTTCTGTTAAATTTCGCATAGCCATTGTGCTCAAAATTCTTTGCTCAATTCGTTAAATGATTTACGATAGATTATTTGATACACTTCTTTCTATATACAGTAACTCTATTCTCTCAATGTGCTCCATCTGTCATTGTATAACAATTGAAATAATTGATTAACTAAAATTATTAAGTATTTTTTTTATATTTCATACATTTGTTCGAAATTTGAGATAATATGTATAAAGTTATGCATAGAAAATTTTTATCTCAAATATTATTTGATATATCATATACGCAAATACATATATCGTTATAAAATATCGATATATTTTTACGCAAAAAAAATTTTTTTGAAATTGTTTTAAGAATTTTAAAATTTATTTTCGAAATCTAATACAGTTATGTGTAAGTTTTTTTTTCACAATAATTGCAAATTACTACATTATATATATATATTTATATATTTTTATTCTTTTAAAAAATTATATAAAATTATATAAAACACTGTATTGTAAACAATAAATATTTTTTATTATTAAATGAAATTCTAATGAAACATTTTTGATTGATTATTATAGATAAAACTATATTTATAATATTAATACATACATTTTAAATATGTAACCATAATTACAGTAATTAATTCTTAATTATTAAAAAATTATTATTTTTTATATTTATATATTTATTCTTGCAGACTTTTCTTCTACTAATTACAAGTTTTTGCTTTTAATTCAAATTATTATTTTTTTTTTAATAGTTTCAATAATTAATGGTTTAACAGCATAAAAATTCCCAATTATTACTTGTCTCTTAATAACCTCAAGATTTTCCAGTCCTTTATTGTAAAACTCATTAATCTTCTCTTTATCTTGTACCGTTTTATTCTGTTGAAATTCATATCGAATTTTACGTAAAGTATACATCCTATAATAAATATGAGATTATACTTATAAGCTTATATTTATAAATAAATATATGATAATGATATGTGTAAATTAAATGTTAATAAATAATACTTATTAATATAATATTCTTCATTATATTATTTATAATTATTTCAAATAATTACAATTTGGTTAATATCAATATATATTATAAATTTTATATACAGAGAAATCAATAAAAAATAACATTTTAAATTGTAAGAAAATAATTAATAATTATTAATTTCATAATTTATAACTTACCGAAAATTATAAAGATTCCATTTTTTAGTTTCTCGAATTAAGTTTCGATAAAGGTTCAAAATATCTCTTCGATTAGCCATTATTTGTATAAATCATAACACATCATAAACTAAACATGTTACATAGATAGATAACATATGTTTTTACAAGTTTGTACTAATATTAAATACACAAAGTTAATTTAAATTTTACACCATATATTTAGCAAGTTGTATTACTAAAAGTGAACAAAATAAATTAAATATTATGAGTTTGGTACTGGAGATAAATATTTATATTCATAATAATTTCATGAATAATTCCCAATTAAATTAATATGCAAAAAATGTTTTATTTTATATCTCAAAATTATAAATCAACCCTAATTTCTCTAAATTTTAAAAATAAATCATACAATTCCATTTTCTGTAACTGATTTGTTAAAAGATATATAATTGTAGTGCTTATAAGTTTTCAAAACTTTTTTTTCAATGTTTTGATTACATTAATGAATACAATTTTTATAATAAATAATTTTAATCTTTTTATCTTTTAATAAATAATAATGTAAATTTTCCTTAAATTATACTATGAATGTATATGTAAAATATGTACATTTAATGGCTTATAAGTAAAAAATTAAAAACAAAAAATTTTCGATGTGTATATTCATGTATTATGTATACTTCTATTAATTATTAAGAATTAATATAATTCCAATTTTGAATTTACATCATTGAATTTTTGATTCTAAATTTTGAAGTTACATCATAATGATTTTACAAAGGTTAGTTTACAGATTTATTATTACATATATATTATATCTTAAATTCTTAAATATTTTTGTAAGTAATGATTGAAATAATTTTATAGGTGCAAAATATATAAATATTATAAGCGTTATTATCAAAAAATATTTAATAAAACATTTTCTATAGCTACACAAACTGAGACAAATAATGAAATAACACTATTAGGCAATAAATATTTAACAGATAATTGGACAAATATTAATGAAAATATAGTATCCAAATTAGGAAGAAATTTACATATTTCTCCATATCATCCTTTATCTCATATTCGTCAACGTATTATTAATTATTTTTATATACACTTTCATAATCGTATTGGAAATCCTATATTTAGTGTATATGATAATATATCTCCTATAGTTACAGTAACTCAAAATTTTGATTCTCTTCTTGTATCAAAAAATCATCCATCTAGAAAACAATCTGAATGCTATTATATAAATCAGAATACTTTGTTACGAGCTCATACAACAGCTCATCAAACAGAGTTTATTTCAATGGGCTTGAATAATTTTCTTATAATAGGAGATGTTTATCGAAAAGATGAAATAGATTCTACACATTACCCTGTTTTTCATCAAGCTGATGCTGTTAGATTATGTACAGTAGAAGAAGTATTTCATAATGTAAATGATCCTGAAGGATTAAAATTATTTGAACATAGAGGTATAGAAACTAATGAAAAGCAAGCTTGTCATACTTTGGAATCTATTAAAATAATGGAATACGAGTTAAAAAATACTTTAACAGGTTTAGCAGAATCACTCTTTGGACCAGGTACTTTTAAAAAGAAAAATAATTTTATTATATATATATCTATATATATATTTTATTATATAATTACTACTTTTTTAATATCATAATTTTAGAAATTCAATATAAATGGGTTGAACAATATTTTCCCTTTACTCATCCTTCATGGGAATTAGAAGTTTATTATAAAGATCAATGGCTTGAAATATTGGGATGTGGTATTATGCGTCAGGAGATTTTACAGAAATCAGGTGCAGGAGAACGTATTGGATGGGCATTTGGATTGGGTTTAGAAAGATTAGCTATGTGTCTATATGATATTCCAGATATTAGATTATTTTGGAGTAAAGATAGTGGATTTTTAAATCAATTCAAAGTTGAAGATCCTAATACGATAATAAAATTCAAGGTAGATTAATAAACTAACAAATATTATTAAGCATTACATAATATTAAAAATTAAATTTATGTATTACAGCCAATTAGTATTTACCCTCAATGTAAAAATGATATAAGTTTTTGGTTACCCAAAAATGAAAGTTATTCATCGAAAAATTTTTATGATCTAGCGAGAAATATTGGTGGTGATAGGATAGAACAAATTATATTTAAGGATGAATTCTTTCATCCTAAGATTAAAAAATTATCACATTGTTATACCATAGTATATAGAGATATGGGACGCACATTATCGAAAAGAGAAGTAAATAATATTCACAAACAAATATGTAAAGATGCAGTTGAAAAGTTACATGTTACAATTAGAGGAAAATAAGAAATATAAGCAAAGAGAGATAAATTATTTGGATATTGTTTATTATTTTTTTTTAATATGTTAATTGTACATATTAGAAAAAAAATAATGAATAAATTCAAAAAAATTCAAATGAATATATTATTACATTTTCTACATAAATTAATTATAAATATGTCATTAGATGAAATATTATTTACCTATAAATAGTAGAATAATTATATAATCTACAGTATGATACATTTCATTAACATTGTAATTAACAACAATTACATCTAAATCTACATTACAATTTATGTGTAAATATAAAAATTATTTATTATAGCAGTGTATATTCATGATAAGTAAATTATATTACATTATATTATAATTAAAAGTAATAAATTTTATTTGAAATATAAAATAAAAATGTTATCAAAACAAAAAATGATAATAAATAAAAATCTCGATCTTTAATTCGTTAAAAAATTTAACTTTGCATATGTTTATTTGTATTTTTATTTATTAAATACATTAAAAAAATCTCAAATAAAACATATGCTTTTAATTTGTTTTATAAACTTATTATATGAATTAAAATACTGTAAATAATATGCAATCAAATATACATAATAAACATGAAATGAAAACGAATAAAATGCTACACATTATATAAATATATTTTAAAAACGAGAATTATTGTTTACTAAAATAAATAAAGACAAAGAAGATATATTTAATTTTCATTTCTTTACAATTATTATCATTGCAATTGATTTTGTAATTTGATAAATTTAAGAGACATTTATGCTACTAGTGTTATGCGTAATAATAATAATAATAATAATAATAATAATAATAATAATAGCAATAATAATAACAGTCAGAATTTATTAACAAAACTTATCATTAATTTAGAATTTAAAGAAAAATGAAGTTGAATCTGATCTGTGCTGATAATATAATAAAATGCTTAATGTTATATATTTAAAGCAAAAGAAATTATGAATTATAAATTAATATTTTGTTAAAAATTATTTTCAATAAGTTATAAAATTTTATTGTTTATAAAAAAATTGGAAAAATACTGAAGAATTTTATGAAATGCAAATTTATCTATTGCACTAGCAGAGCTTGAATTAGAAATAATTAATTAATTTCAAAAAAAATTTTACTATTTTTTCAATTCAGAATTTTGTCAACATTTCATATATGTTACTTTTATTATTTAAAATGACAATGTTATGTAAAATTTAAGATAATTTGGTGTAACTAGGAGGAGAAAATTTTTTTCGTAAAAATTTCAAGATATATAATGGCATACAAGAAATTAAAGTTATAAGTAATACTTTCCACAGAAAATCAGTAGTCTTGATAAACTCGGCATCTATGTTATAATTAAAAGAAAGAGTGATTAAATTTCTTTAATGAACATATTCCTTATTTATTATTTTTTGCAAATATATATTAATTATACGCACCAAAATAATCTTTGAGAACGACTAGAGATAATAAATAAAGTGCCAATGAGAAAATCTCTGCAAGTATCATAATATGATGCCATGTTCTAATAGTTAAAGCTACCATTATTAATTCCGTCAAGACGAGTGCTGTGAAACTTATGGCCACTATATGAATAAATTCATCTTCAAACATAATGAGTGCGCCATACATTATAACACCTCCTAAAAAATGATTTAAAAAATTAATATATTCATGGAAAATTCAAAATCATTGTTAAAAGTTGTTGGATTTATTATTTAATTTATTTACCTTGATATATACTTATTAAAATCCACATAAAGAATGTCTTATAGGACAACGATCGGCCCTTACTAAGTTCTTTATAAAGTTCTGGATAAGTAAGAGCAATTTTTCCCGATACATCTTTATCTAATACCAAAGAAAATACGGGAAACATCGTATATATTGTTCCATAACTAAAAAATATAAAGATTTAATTAAGATTAAGATACGTCAGAATTATAAATTATTAATTATTTATATTTAATAAATTATTTTAAAATCATTAATTTTTCTTACCAACCATTAAAAATCCTTGATATAAAGATACAGATGATAAATAAAAGACCGCAGAAAACACAGCTTGCATAGTAGAAATAATTAAACCTCGATGAATAACGAATTGACTTAAAGCAGCAGAGCGTTTGTAACTTCGACGTCCGTGAACTAACAAAAGATTGGCCAAATGACTAAACTGAGAAATGGAAAAATCTGCAGCCAAAGACGCTTGTCTTCCTTCAAGACCTTCAAGACCTATACCTGAAAATGTATACTAATTTGAAAAACAATTCATTTGAATATAAAAGTATAATGATAATTACCAGCATCTGCCGCTTGTATCATTGATACATCATTTCCCCCGTCACCGACAGCTGCAGTTCTTTTGCCAGTATGTCTTTGAATAAGACTTACAACTTCCGCTTTTTGCGTGGGTGAACATCGACAGCAAACAACAGCCGGTGAACCGCATGCTAGTTCCAAAAATTCTTGTTCATAATATTGTAAGCATACCTCTAAAGAATCTCCACTGATGACTAAGGCACAATCTTGTTTTTTACGAAACGTATTTAATTCCAAATGCGCATCTGTACGAGTTACCACTGATTTAAAAACATGAAGGCTTTGTGTCCGTGAAACTAAACGCGAAGATTTTGCTATACAAGTTGCCGTTTCTAATTTGTCACCTGTTAACATCCAAATCTAAAAATTACAAGAAAAATATTATAATTTTACAATTAAAATGAACAAAAAAAAAGTTTAATTTCACATATAATTTTATTTTAATAAATTTAAGATAAATAATACCTTAATACCAGCATTTCTTAATAATTCCAATGTAGGTCTTACTCTATCCTGTAATCTATCTTCAACACCAGTTACACATAATAATTCCATTTCTCGTTCTAAACTTTCAACAACTGCAGCAACTCTTGAAACGCGATCACTGACGCTCATTCTTGCTGAATTATATCTAAAAAAATATCTTTTATGTAGCTGATTTATTATTTTTAATCATTTTACAGCTACATATGAAAATTTTTTACCTTGCTTCAAAATCAAGATACTGTTCTTCTGTTAAATTCTTTTTTGCAACAACTAAAGTTCTTAAACCTTCTCTAGCCATATTACCACATTCTTCTTCGAGCCAATCATTATATTGTACTATTCCGGACATTACTACATCTGCACCTTTTAAGTAAAATACTATTTCAGAACTAGATTCTTCTTTCACTATTATTCCCATCCGTTTGGTTTCTGATGTGAATGGAAATATTTGCAAAATTGTATAGTTCAAAATTTTGCCATTTGGAGCTTTTAATTGCATAAAATTTAAATCGCGTTTCACTAGTGCCAATCCCATCTCTTCTGTCCACTTAACTAATGCTACTTCATCTGGACTAGAAGCCTGATAATTACGTTTTTGTTCTGGTACATAATAATGTTGATCTGCTTCAGTTTGACTGAAATAAAAATAATTTAAATACATATATCATGTGGACAAATTATCTTTCAAAATTTACCTTTGAATAGAACCAGAATCTCCTGTTTCTGTTGTCTGTACACTCATCGTATCTAAATTAGCTGATTTAGTTATTTCATCATAAACTGGTGTTACATTATGACATAATGCCAAAGCATGAACTGCATCATATATTCTAGTACTTTCAGATCTTCTTACTTTTCCACTGTGTATAGACGTTGATGGTTTTACCGGTGAAGTTTCAGAATTTGCATAACATGTTTGTAATACAGTCATAACTTCATCAAATGTTTCTTGACCATAAGATATCATACCCAAATGTAATTTTTTGAAAACCATTTTATTCTGTGTCAATGTGCCAGTCTTATCACTTAATAAATATGAAATACGTCCAAGTTCTTCCGGAATAGTAGTAGTTCTCACAACAGTTCCAGCAATTTCCTTATCCCTTTGTATACACCAAGCATAAAAAGCTTTCCCCATATCTAAATTTACTCTTAAACTGATTGGTATTATATAAGAAAATAGCAAAACAAAACGAAACATATAACGATACCATGGCCCATTAAATCCTTTTAAAGACATCATTACTAATGCTAATCCAATTACAGCACAAAATAAGACCTATAAAGTTAAACTTCATTCAATAATATGTATTTTATAAATTGAATTTAGATATTTTTACAATTATAAATTACCTTTGTCAATTGATTTATTTCTTGATCTAATAAACCAACTTTTGATCGTGGTGCAGAATGATTCATGAGAGATCTAGTTTCTTGTCCAGTATAAACTACAACACCAAGAGCTGAACCTGATGCAATTGCCGTATTTGCCCATAGAGTATTATCTACACCTAAACTTTCTTCACTGCTGTATCCATCATACTGTAAATTGTAATATAATTATTATATACATTTATTGTACATTTATTACATTAATTATATATTGTTGTATAAATATTTAAGATAAAATAACTGAATATTTCAAATTTTACCCTTGTAAATGTTCCAATAAAACTGTGAATATCTTTTTGTGGTTTCTCAACATATATGCTAGCTTTTATATCGAACAGTTGAGAATTATTTTCTAACTTTTGTGTAGCTGGTACAGCTAATCGTAATTTCCAATCTGTTTCTCCATCTAATTGATCAGTTCTCACAAAGCATGCACCAGATTTTTCTGTGGTTCGTAAAAGAACCAAATCAGCTGGAACTCTTTGACCTTTTTCTACAATAACCTTGAATAAAAAATAAAAAAAAAATATTCTATTTTTATTCTTCTTTTTATTTTTATTTAATTACATTTCCATTTTCTTACCAAATCACCCACTCGCAATTTAGAACTTGGTACTAATTCTGGAGTATCAAAACCTTTTACTAATCTATAATATTTTTGGGCATTGACTTCTTTATCTCTCTTATATCGTCTAAAATCATCAATTGCTTCTCGACAAATTGTAACAGTTAACACAAAACATAAAGGTCCCCAATATGTATATAAATATCCTATTCGTATGTCTGGTATGAATTGTGATATGGCCATAAGCAAAAAATATAAATTTAGGAAAAATTTGAACTGTTGGAAAAGAACCTAAAAGATAAAATCATTAGATATAGAATAATATTCTTATTCTATGTATATTTAATAACATAATTTACAATATTCCTTACCAAAGGTAAAAATGTGACAATATTATATTTCTGGTTTCTGATGACATTAGTAGGAAATTTTTCATGCATTGGTTGACCAATTTGAATAACCCTGGCTCTTAATTCACGTTCTCTGCAACATCTTCTCCACATCCAGGTACAACATCTAAAATGACACAATAATATATATAATTACAGTAGACAAAGAAAGGAAAAAATATAGCATCAATTCTTCGTTCTTTATTAAAATATATTTAATATCATAATAATTGATCGGAAATGAAGAGAAATGTGTTAATTAAATAAATATAAAACATGGAATATATATAATATAGTTACTATATTGAAATCCAGCTAAACATCATGGAAATAATCAGTAATACGTATTGAATTATTTAACAAGTTCTTGCAAAGAAATTAAAAGATTACAAATATTACAAAGATTAGAAATCGAAATTTTTTGGAGGAGTAAAATGTACGTCACCTTGTCCACGAGTTGTCATTCCGCGGTTTAGATATTAACGGAATATCTTCTTTTGATAGCCTTATAACATTGCTTTGTGTCTCCATTTAGATATTTCTTTATTACAAATCATATAAAGAAACACTTATATTAGCTTCTTGTTAAAATAACACTGTCTAAAAAGTATTCTTCGATATTTAACGCAATTCTGTTGTGACATCATAACATCCATGAAATACGAACTTACAAGATGAATTCACTAATTTACTACAATGACTTACACTATATGTTCTACTTAACATAATTTCCGCATTTCTTAAATATTTCTTATTAAAAATAAAATTTTTATGAAATCAAATATTAATTTTAATGCTAAAATTTAATTCTATTACAAAAATTATTTCCATTTCTCTCAATTAATTATAATATATATATATATATATTAAAAATCAATTTTCAAGTAATATTATCATATATTATTTTATTTTTAATATTATCATATATTATTTTTTTAAAAATTCATTTTTGTATCTTGAATATTAATATTTTGACGTAATATCCATGAATTTTTATTATTTGTTACGTTGGCTACCATTAAAGAATTATCACTAGAGGATTATAGACTTATTTTCATCGAATATCATATTTATTTTTATTCGATTTTTTTAATGATTTATTATCGAATATATAACTTACCCGCAAAAGCAACTCCTGAGGAATACAGAAAAATTATTTATTCGTCGTCTTCGTGAAGTTAAAAGTCGTATACTATCTTCAGAAGGTTGGAGAAGATAGTCAGTTTCTTCATCCATTTCAAAATCTCGCTCATCCGAGCTTAAACGTAATGGCATTTCTTCTAACCGCATATTTTTTTGACTAATCACTCGATAAATTTTCTTTTCCATTTACCACGAATACACAACTATTATTATCTTTATGGTATATTACATATGCAGCATGTGTATATATGTAAATATATACATACATTCATAAAAGCAAACAACATACATACATATATTTTTATATATTCATCTATACATCTTTCTTTCAATGACAAAATATATTACACATAATTTCCACGTAACGTTATATATATATATGTATCATATAATATTGAAGTATTACACTATCTAAATATACCGTACGCTACAGGTACGTACGTGATTTTTGTACCTTGTTTTAGTTAAATAGAATCGTGATTTTTGATAATTAACATTTACATTTATTTTTTAATTTTTCAATAACAATATTTAAAATAACACTATCAATTGACATTTTATCGATTGATTTACTGATCTTGTTTATTTACGAAATACGAGCATACATGCGATATACGTGCATATATGCCCAATGTTCTTTCCACGTACGTACATGTATACATCGCGAAAAATTTTTCAAACAATACCATTGTGTATTAAACTTTCGAATCATTTTAATTTAAAACAAGAGTAAATTCAAATTTGACGGAATTTCAGTTTATTCTTAAACTAATCATTAATCAACGCGATACCTCGAACTTTTACAATGGGTGCGGCCATGTTAAGTACTCAATAATCACGTGATTCGTTTGACATGCTTCTTTGGACGCATGCTTGCATGATTTGAAATTTTATGTTTTTCAAATCTAAAATTATAAATTTAAATTTTGCTTTTTTCTATATTCTACATAATATTCTATATTTTATTTTATAGATTTTATTAATCATTATAATATTTATTATTCAAGTGTGACTTCATAATGTAACGCTAATTTTTTTATTGTATCCTTAAATGTTTCATTTTGATATTCTCCATTTTTAAGTAAATCGTGAAAAAGTTGTTTACACATTTCTTTTTCGTTTTGTTTCATAAAATTCATTGTCAAGTAAAATCTATTACATTTACTCAAAATGCATAAAATATCAACAATGAACTCGATATTATTTACATTCGAAACATTTTGTAAACATATGTCTATTAGTTCGACAAATAATGCTGGAGGAATTTCTGTGTAAAAAATTTTCTCCCGTAAGTTATGTCTGAAATTAATTAAAAATAATTAGATTAAATAATAAATAGGTTAAATGAACTTTCTTTTTTTAATTTTTCGATTTAATCAAACAAATAATTTACCTTAAAATTTTAAGATAATTAAATTTTTCTTTATATTCTTTAATCGATTTCCAAAATTGTATAAATTGATCATATGTAATGGGTATTTCATTTTTAAAAGTATTTTTATTCTCTTTTGATTTCAGACAATCTTTAGACTGATCTTCTTCTGGATTAAATGGCATCATATTTGAATTATTATAATTACAAGTAGGATTCCAAATTTTGTTTACCTCATATTTAATGTCGGAGTGTTTCAAAGGTTTTAAATGAGCAGCATTTACCTGATAAAAATTTTAATGCAGATGAAATTATCCCATATAGATAACAATATTTTTCTAAACATATTATTACCATTTGTCTGAAATCCTCATATGTAGGTACATTTTGTTCCACTGCTCTAATTTTAGCATCATTTTGTAATTTGTATAATTCATCTTCTTTAAGAGCCTCTAAGAGTTCTAATTGCATATTTTTATAATCTATGGGCAATCTTAATTTGCTCATTTACCACGATTCGAAGTTTTGAAGATATTTAATTTTTGAGACAACACAATCCACGATAATACGAAATGAGAAACTTAAGGTAATAAATAATCATTATCCGTATCATGAATGGTTGCTATAGTAAGTTGCTATGGATACGATTATGTTGTATATATAATACATATTTGCGAGTAATAAAATTTAAAGACAAATTGTAATTATAAGAGTTTATTAAGATATTATTAGCTTTTATTATATCGATATATTTGCATAATAATAATAATATTATAAAATAACATTATCCTCTGATGTTAAAATCTTTTTCATTATTTTGCTCTGTCTTTTTTTGTATAATTTATCATGAGTTCTTTTCATCTCTAGAATTTCTTTCATTTCTTCTTTGTCCTCTTACCTAAAAAAAAAAAAACGTGTATTTTATTCTATTACAATTATTTATCTATTAGAAATTATTCTCGTTATTTTTACCGATTGATTCAATCGAAGTACTAATGCTCTTCGACCATCGGACATTGGTTGAGAATAATCCATTAATTTCTTAAGTCTTTCCTCAGGGCTCACTCCTCTTTCAACTACTAAAACTATACGTGCCCACTGTAATATTAATTATAACAACAAAATTATGATTACATAGAATGATCATAGGAATGGAAAAATAAGGAAGAAAAACATACTTGTCTTTGCCATTCATTTCTTGTTTCTGCAATTTTCTGATACGTATTTCCCATCATGGCAATTAACATATTTACCAATAATATAGCAACGATCGCCATGTATACTACAAATAAAAACTGCAATAAAATGAATTTATATACACATCGAAAAGAATAATTTTGCGGCAAATATTATTTATCACCTTGGCTTCTATCTCGTGTTGCGTTCTTTCAAAAGCACCATAATAATCTCCAAAGTTTGTCATGCTCATAAGAAACATTGCCATTATACTTTCTATTGGTGACGGCATTGGATTGCTCATCGAATCATCTACTCCTTCCGGTGTATTTGGATTATCGAAAGATAAAAATATAATATAGTATGCTGAAAAGGAAAAGAAACAACAATCTTTTGAAAGAAAATTAGAAGAGAGAAAGAGTTACACAGTTATATTGGATTAGGAAGAAATAAAAAACAATGTTTAAATATATGTTTGAAAATAAGTTAAACTATGTAATAAAATAAATAGCTATGTACGTATTTCGTTGTAAATATATAAGATAATTGGCAAGATGCCTAATGTAAATAACATGTTACGTTTTAGAATGGAAGATATTTCATTGCAATAATATGTGTCAATGTCATTTGTGATGTAGTAAACTAAGCGAGCGATTAAGTCATAAGGCAAGCTCGTATCGTCTGCTTGGTCGTTTGTTATACATTTTGATTATCTAGAAGAAAAAAAGGAAACGTCATCGACATGTTTGCTCGCGGGTATTAATTTAATCCATCAGTTTACTCTTACGAATCGATCGTAAGTTTATTTTTGTCCGTGATCTACGTTCGAAACATTCAAGATATCTCGATGCTGTCGTCTGTTATCATAAAAGTTCTTGGTTAAAGAAGTGTGATTGATCATAATAGAAATAGCAGAATATAATGGAAAAATCTAACGCATAGCATCAATTAATCGCAATTAATCGCTAGACAAAGGAGAAAATTGTAGTATATTATTATTCAAGTTTTTCAGATTAAAATTTTTTCTCGATATCGATATCACCTTGGGAAAATCCCATCACGAAGACCAAGTAAATGGAGACGAAACGGAGGAGATCGCCCATGATCATTCTGTAAATCATCACGACGAATGGGCCGACCGTTTTGAAACCTCTACAGAAAAATAAGAAATACGGTGCCGTGGTTAACATAACGACAACAGCTAGCATATCTTCAACTTGGTCGGCGCAAATCAATCTTAAAAATGGGAAGGTTAACAATATACAGCAGGAAAAGAGAAACATCACTCTGGACGGTGCAGTCATCTAAAAAATAATCTCCTTCGTTCAATCCATTTCATTATATCATTTGTTAGATGTTACATGTGTCTTACTAGATTTTCAATGAACATATTAAGACCAAGGAATCTGGCTTCTCGCAATGCTGCAAAAATGTAAAGAGTGGCCGCAATTTCCATTAATACTTCAGCAGTCAATCTAATCTTTGTCGATAACGTATCTACATGCATTAGTCTACATTCTTCTGTAAGATTGTTCCACCTAATGTTTAAAATAAGCAATTTGAGATCAATTCCAATCAGATTTGTCAAGGAATTATAATTCAATTTCAAAGATTGCAACATACCAGTTGTATTTGCCAGTGGCAAACGATATCCCATCGTTGAACAGAATCGTCGAATTTACCGAAAGGACAGTTTCATTGATCGTAATTTTCAAATTATCGATCGGCGTGGTATCGTTTCTCGTAGAATGGAAATATTCGGTTGTTTTGTAAGAGTGGTTAAAAAATTCGATCTCGTCTCGGTGTGTCGACAGTAGATTGTTCAAAGCGGTTGTCAAATTCTCGATGATATCGAGCTTCAGCTTATCGAGACGAGTTCTTGTCACGTTCCAAGGATATTTTACGCTTGCAGTGGAAAGAATTTTATCAAGAAGGAGGGAGAGATTGGAATCGTGTTGGAAAGCATTCGAGCTTCGATTGACAGTAACGTTCGAGACGGGAGGATCCACTTTTGGGGAAATTGTGGACAATTCGGTGGACGTAAGGGGCGTTTGAGCGACGGGGTTGGGAACGGATGATGTCGTCGCTGGGCCAGGTCGAAGGGTGAAACTGATCAACGACAGGACAAAGTAAAAACAAAAAGGAAAAATTGACGATAAAACCGAAATTTGACGAATGTGTTCCACTTGGCGTTCAACAGATCAACCAGAATCCCGTCCATCAATTCCAAATGCTCGTCTTTTTCCTACGTGTATGCAAGAAACATCATTTCTCGATGAAATAGGAAGCGATACTTTTAAATATTTTTCAACTCACGCCGAACACGACCAGATTTAGAGCGGAATTGTGGCTAATGCTTCCCGTGTCGACATCGATGGTGTCGACTTGCGAGAGAGGATAAGCTGCGCACGTTATACTTCCGATCTGCCAATAAATCTCTCGCTCGATGTTCAAAATGTGAAAAAACATTTCGATCTTTGCCAATTTGGCCGACAACGTCAAGGGCGTTAAGTGTTGAGCATTCCTGATCGCTAACGATGCGCCCACTTCGTACGCCATATCGAATGTCGCCTTCCACGGCGATATAATAATAATAATTCGTTAATCGTCTATTTACGACCTATTATTCTTCGACGAATTCTTACCAATTTTTCGTAAATGACCAGCATGTGTAAAACGGTGTTCCCGTTCGTATCTTGTTTGTCGGGGTCAGCCCCCCTCGCGAGTATCAATCTGTAACACTCTTCCTGTCCCAAACACGCGGCAAAATTTAAAGGATACTCGCCCCAGTAAACGTACCTAGTCGCGTCACGATCAAAAGGAATAACAGGATAATTACACCAGTTATACATTCATTTGACTCGGGTAACGAGCTCTTCTTTACCCGTTGTAATTAGTTTCCGGAGTTACGCAAACCCATTCGTGATCCAGACTGTCCGCTCTCGACGCTTTTTGATCCTCTGGACACATAAAGTTTCCTATGCATCTTTCGTGCACGTCCGCACCGCTATCCAAAAGGAATTTCACCATTGACGGATCCTCGTTCACGATTGCGATGTGTAATGCGCTCTCGCCTGATAAACGATGAAATTCGAAGATAAAAAGATAAAAAAAAGAAAAGAAAAGAGGTTTCTTCGCGTTCTCGTCTTCACGATATATCAACCAACCATAATACTCGTCGCTTATGTAAACATCGTTGATAAGCTTGGGATAAAAACGTAGCAAACGCTTAGCCAAATCGATGTGAATAGCAGTTGCATGTAGCATACACAAATGTAAAATTGTTTCACCGACTGCTCCTCTCTCGCTCAAGCTCCAGCATACTAATCTGTACTTGCTTTTATCTGTTGTTAATAGAACGAATAGTTTTTTTTTTTATTATTATTATTATCAATTTCTCTATCCATTGTGTTTTACCTATTCTCGTCTCGTCCCTCACTTCATCTTCGCCCGTATCTTTGTCTATGTCGTAATCGGCCGGATTTTCCATAGCCCGCAACGGTGGAAGCTGTTTTTCATGAGAGAGAGAGAAAAAAAGGAGAAAATTTTCGACCGTTGTATATGTAATTGATCGCAAGTATTCTATTATTCTACCATTTTGTGCTTTGGACGATCCTTGTTCCTCAACAAAACCAATTTCTCGATCGGGATCCATTTACCTTTACCCTTGTTATATAAATACGGTTCTACTTTTGTTCTCAGTGCGTGATCCAATTCCGCGTATTGTTTAGTTTGCGTTGCCCTTTTCATCATATCTACCAATAAACCACCTCCTGAACGAAGAAAAAGAAAAAGATTCTCTTTTTTTCATATATATATATATATATCTCTTTATCATTCTTATTCACCTTTCAAGTCGACTAATTTGTAAAGCAAAATGGACGACGCGTCCGTCTGTTTCTTCACACCGCTGGCCACGTTGCTCTCCGTATTTCCCATCTCGTTGTCTTTTTATTGGTAGAAGGACACACGATCTTTGATACCGGCACGATCGACGCGATTTTAATGTTCACACCGTTCTCTCATCTCTCTGCGTTACCATGGAATTACATTCTTGATATCGATCACGCAACCGACCGCACCTTCTGCAAGGCATAACCTTACTTTATCGAATTTTCTTCGAAGGATATCCTCTTTTTGATATGCGATTGTCTTCAAGATCTAATTTATAATAAGCGTGTCTATCGCGAATGAAATTCTTAATTCTTGAAAAAATTCCATGCACGAAAGATCTATAAAATGGAGAGGAAAGAAATAAGAATGTGGGCGTCAAGTGGATCTCTTTACTCTTATTTTATCGTTTCTTATTAATTTTAGTTGTAAATCTTTATTAAAATATTTTACGTATGTAAATATATAAAATAAAAAAAATATTAAAAATTAAGCAGAAAGTAAAAATATATACGCGTAATAAATAAAAATACCTTGCTAGGCCCCGGAGGGATTCGAACCCTCGATCTCCTGTTTACTAGACAGGCGCTTTAACCAACTAAGCCACGGCGCCAAGTTGATCCTAGAGTTCTCAAAGAATATATTTCAGCTAATCCAGATAATAATGTTTAGTTAATATTAATATAAAATAAATTATTAATAATTTATTAAATATTAATATTTCTTAAATTATATCATAATATTAGAAAGGATCTTTATATATAGACATGATATATAGATATAAATTGCAATTGTTATTATCGCAAAATGAATCAGTATAATTCGTATAACTTATTATATGAATTTAAATAAAAATTTCAATTTAATATTAAATATATCCTAGAAAAACGATTGATTCGTATATATATAGAAATTATTGAAAAATTTTCTTAACGTGGCTCGTTGGTCTAGGGGTATGATTCTCGCTTAGGGTGCGAGAGGTCCCGGGTTCAAATCCCGGACGAGCCCTTCCCGTGTTTTTTTTTTTTTTTAATTTTTCCTTTCAACTGTTTGCACGAATTAAATAATTAAGTCTCTCAAATATCAATTGTTTTTCATCCGTTTCGTAAAAGTTTTGCAATAAAAAAAAAAATAATGATATTATTCAAAGATATGCAAGTGGCGATAAAGACATGTGTAATTAACAATTTAAAAAAAAAACACGCTTGTTTTCGAGCATTTTAATTTCAATTTAAAATTTAAAAGAAGAAAGAAGAGGTATCTTGAGTGCCCGCTGTGCACACTCGTGGCGAGTCGGAATCTGTAACTGCTGTGACAAGTTGCACTCACTCGCGAGTTTAATCAGAGACCTTTGCATATTCGAGGAATGACGAATCTCAAGGGAAGAAGTCGTAAGGAGATCCGGTAAGTAGCCAAGAGGAAACCGAATCGCGATACACCGTGGGACGCGACCAGGCTAGCATTTAGCTCGCGTTTACCTAACGTATTCGCAGGTCAGTTAGGCTCCTGCTTTCGAGCCGCCAGCACCGATCGATTCTCCTCTAATCGGTTAAACAATCGTTATTACAACACCGCTTCGAATTTATCTTGCGAACGACAGTTGTCCAGAAATTAGCTTTAGTTCCTTTTCAATCGTCCGAGTTGTTCGAGAATTTTTAACCCCTCTTTTTTTATGTCTCTTTCTCAATCCCCCAATCTTTCAAACCACTGTCACTGTCATCCAAAAACATATTTGAAGATATTTTAGAACGCGTATCTACGGGCGTCTATTGCAGGCGTGTACTGCCACCGAGTACTGGGAAGCAAGTGGTAGTGTCTGACATTCGCCAAAAGAGCCAAGTGTTTTCTCGTGTGATCTGACCAATCTCCACCAACGACAGGTAGGTGACACTTCGATATTTAATATTCGATACAACTTGTTGCTCAGTGATCAATCATCGGATATTAAGCGATATTAAATTGATGTTGTTTTTAGAATATCGATTATTTCGATTTAGAGAATTCGAATGAAAATGCGACGATTTCACGATTGCACGAACTATATATATATACACATAAAAAAAAAAATCTCTGCATATTGAAATAAACATCTTTTTTCGCATAATGGACCGAAAATGATTCGAGGCACGTTTTTTACACACGAATGCTACGAATACTGCGATTCTTATTCCGCGTTTACCCGTTATCTCATTCACGTTGCATGTGTGCGTACACGCCTGAGCGTTTCGCGCGCGCTGAACGATTTAAAAAGAAGCGATTTCTCGGTGTTCTCTAGAAAAAAAGGTTGATTCAATAGTTGGATAGATAGATGTCCTTGCGCGTGTACGTACGCGCAATCCTCGTCGAATACCTATCATCGATACCTATTCGATTTCACCACCCTTATCCCGAATCCATAACGCAAAGAGATCGGAATTTGGGCCAATGGGCACATACGCGTTAATATATGACGTTCGCGTTATTTTTAGCGCGAACAATTTGAAAGATATACGTATATAAGCATTGGCGCGACTTACGATAAACAGATTAAATAAGAGGAAAAAGAAAATGAAGGGGAAAAAGAGAGAAGAAGAAAAAATAATCGAGGATGATTCGGTCGAGAATCGATGGGAGTAGGGGAACAGGGTGGTGGAGAGAGAGAGAGAGAGAGAAAAGTGACACCGGTGTTTAATTTTAGGAAAGTTTAACCGTACCATGATCGATATATATATATATATATA